AAAAGCTCTGCCTCCTAGGCAGCCAATGGCTCCTCACAGTTCACCCAGATTTGGTTCTGAATGGTCGGTTTCTATGCCAGTCAGCGTCTCTGGGCCTATCAACAGGCCTGATCAGTTGTAACATCCAAAACAACTTCCGGTTAGTCAAGCCTTCAGTTGTTTTGGATGTTATGGTCTCTGGGTTTTGATATATTAGGATGTACTTCTGTAAAGTGGTTTCTATGCATACCAGAAAAAGTCTCAAATAGCTGGGACCTATAAAATTTCTTACAGGCATAAAAATGAGATTTTTCCTTTTCTCTTTGTCAATCTTTGAAAATAACACAAATGCGTAGTTTTGGCTGTGCATTTAACTAGGGAAGATGCTAGGAATGATACAAGCTATGGCTGTGGGACTGCTCACACCGGGCAAGGTGCACCTCCGCCAGGGGCATGAGAACCCAGGAGCTTATGCAACAGGAGGAAGTAGCCTCTGAGCCAGTCCTTGACAACATGTGGTGTTTCTCTGGTCACACAGAGGATAGGAAGGCACACCCACGGAGGGTCTGGAGTACGCACAAGCCAGGAAGACCCCGCCCACCCAAATCTGGGCTTTGTTGCAGAGTTCAGGCAGAAGATTTGAAGATGATGTACACAGATATCTGGATGGAGGGCTAAAAGTTGGCAAAAACAATTTGGAAAGAGCCCTAGTTCCTCCTGTTAACACACACAGGATGGACTGGAAAGAAGAGAGGATAAAGGCAAAGAAACGAATTAAGAAGTGATTATAGATCTGAATCTAAGGTTAGAAGACCTAGACCAAAACTCAGAAGCCATAAAGGAAATTCTTAACAAACCTGCCCTATATAAATTGAGAAGCTTCTGAACAACAAACAAACCCCAAGTCAGAAGAAAAGATTTAAACTACCTGACAAAGGGCATACTTTCCTTAATATATAGAGTCCATAAAAACAGAAATGACCTAATAGAAAAATGGGAGTTTACAGGGAAAAAATTAGAAATGACATATAAAGTTGCATATGAAAAGATGCTTTACCTCATATCATAAAAGACATAGATTGATATAATGTATCATTTCTGACCAATCAGATTAGCCAAGATTAAAATGTAATGCAAGGCTCAATGGTTGAGCATGGACCTATGAACCAGGAGGTCACGGTTCAATTCCCGGTCAGGGCACATCCAGGTTGCAGACTCAATCTCTGGTGAGGGGTGTGCAGGAGGCAACCGATCAATGATTCTCTCTCATCATTGATGTTTCTCTATCTCTCTCTTTTCCTCTTCCTTCCTCTTTGAAATCAATAAAAATAGCCCTAACCGATTTGGCTCAGTGGATAGAGCATCAGCATACAGACTCAAGGGTCCCAGGTTCGATTCCGGTCAAGGGCATGTACCTTAGTTGTGGGCACATCCCCAGTAGGGGGTGTGCAGGAGGCAGCTGATCGATGTTTCTCTTTCATCAATGTTTCTAACTCTCTCTTCCCCTCTGTAAAAAAAAACAAAAAAACAAAACACAAAAAAAACAACAGTAAAATACATATTTTTAAAAAATAAATCAATTAAAAAATATATATATAAGTTAATGGTGGTAGCCGGAACCGGTTTGGCTCTGCAGATAGAGCGTCGGCTTTCGGAATGAAGGGTCCCAGTTTCAATTCCGGTCAAAGGCATGTACTTTGGTTGCGGGCACATCCCCAGTGGGGGGTGTGCAGGAGGCAGCTGATTGATATTTCTGACTATCTGTCCCTCTCTGTAAAAAAATCAATAAGATATATTAAAAAAATAAAAAGTTAATGGTGACAGCCTGAGCCAGTTGCTCAGTGGTCAGAGCGTGGCCCTCCCATCAAAGCTGGTTCAATTCCTGGTCAAGGGCATGAACCTGGATTACAAGTGATATCCTGCAAACCCCAGCACAATCTGACCAGACTGCTGGTTTGAGTGCTTCCCTGGCTCCCTCAGGCTTCCCCACTTCCCACCTGGATTTGTGTTCCAGCCCATCAAACCGCATGGACCCGCCTGAGTTTATGCTATTTCTTTTTAAATATATTTTTATTGACTTCAGAGAGGAAGGGGGAGTGATAGAAACATCAATGAAGAGACTCATTGATTGGCTGCCTCATGCCCTTGACCAGAATCGAACCCAGTACCCCTCAGTCCGCAGGTGACGCTTTATGCTATTTCTTGGCGCCCCATCCTCACACGTGCTTTTCCTATAGCCCCTGCCATAACTGAAGACTCATCGTTGGCATCACCCCTAATCAAGCTGTGACTCCTCCAGGCTTCATGAGTCTCGTCTCCCACCATGTCTTGACCAGTCTGCCTTCTTCCCTTATTAGCCTATAAACTCAAATACATATTTATTAGACATAGAGTGAAATCGTATCCTAACCTTTTTTTTTTAATTCTCACCAGAGAATATTTTTTAATTGATTTTTAGAGAGTGGAAGGGAGGAAGGGGAGAGAGAGACACATTGGGTTGGTTGCCTCCACACACACCAGGATGGGACCTGGGCTGAGGCTCAAGCCTGCAACATGCCCTTGACAGGGAACAGAACCCCAGACCCGTCTGTGGGCCGACACTCTAACCATAGAGCCAAACCGGCAGGCTGCATCCTAACCTTTCTCATGATCACTGTACCTCTTTCTCTCTGTGCATATTGCTTTGCCGAGTGGCTTTTTTTGCTCTTCTGTGCTTCCTTACTCAGGGTTTCTTCACCTGCCTAGCGACACTGGTGATCCGGGCCTATGAAAGAGCTAGCTCTTCCTGGGAGAGCCTCCAGACTTTCCTCTGGGCTGGTCAGACCCTCAGCTGCCAGGCGAGGCCTCGGTATCATTCAGTGTGTGAACTCGCTCTCAAACTGTTTTGTATCGTCCCTCCCTCAAACTCCAGACATTCTCTGGGAAAGAGCAGCGCTTTGTCCTCCATCATGGAAGAAGAGTTAGCTACCTGTCTGCTTGGACTCGGGGGGGAGGGGGGGAGGGCGGGGGGGGGGCACGGACTATGGGGATCTCCTGCTTAGACTTTGAAGTGATGCTCCTGTTCTCAGCCCCCTTCACTTCTATTCCGAAGACCCCTGGCACTGCCCATTCCTGAGCATGGGGGAGCCATGGCCAGGCTGCTTCTTGGGGCTGGAGGTGGCTGAGCCCGTGGCCATCTGCTTCGTGTCAATTATCTCCACTCTTGTTCTTTATGGTTTTATGTTAAAAAAAAAAAAAAAGTTTTCACTGTCGTTTTTATTTTATTTTTATATTTTTATTGAGTTCAGAGAAGAAGGGAGAGGGAGAGAGATAGAAACATCCCCTACTGGGAATAGAGCCCACAACTTGGGTACGTACCCTTGACTGAAATCGAACCCGGGACCCTTCAGTCTGCAGACGGACGCTCTATCCACTGAGACAAACCAGTTAGGGCCTCGCTGTCATTTTAGAGAAAACAAACCCATGTAATCAACCCACTCTTTCACCAGATATGACTCTTGAGTACACCTCACACAACCTTAGGATTTAAATATTATTCCTATTTCAAAAGAGAAAGAGAGGCTAAGCTGCTTGACCAAGATCATCCAGTCAGTATACTACAGAGCTATGGTTTAACTCCATTGTCTGAGGCCCATTACTATTATCCACATATTAGAGATTTTAAAAATTAAGGCCGCCCTAGCCGGTTTGGCTCAGTGGATAGAGCGTCGGCCTGTGAACTGGGGAGTCCTGGGTTTGATTCCCGCCAGGGGCATGTGCCTTGGTTGCAGGCATATCTCCAATAGGGAATGTGCAGGAAGCGGCTGATCGATGCTTCTCTCTCATCAATGTCTTTAACTCTCTATCCCTCTCCTGTCTTCTCTGTAAAAAAATCAATAAAATATATTTTTATAAAAATTAAGGCCTAGAAGAGTTGTGTTCACCAAGATTGCAAGGCAAGCAGGCAGCATGAGACTTGAATCCAAGGCTATGTGACTTCAAAGCCCGTTTCTCTCTAGTGCGCCTCACTGCCCACCTTAAGGACAGCCCACACCACCCTCTACCAGGGCTTAGGAACACACACCAGGAGTCCAAGAGCTGCCTCTGAGAATGTATACATTGTGTACTTCCATTTTTCCACATTTTTCTTAAGACCAGCATATCTGTAATCCAGCACTGCCCTGGGACTGCATCTGCGTTTGTGTGTGCGAGAGAAGGCTGCTTGAGGAGCAGAGGCTCCTGAGAACGGAGGGGCTGCCGGCCGTGAGCAGCAGGTCACCCCACGGGGAGCGCAGTGCAGTCAGGCTCCCAGTGCAGTGAGAGCATCCTGGAAGCATCGGGTCACCCACAGCCAGTGACGCTGGTCCAGCCACCCTCAGGGGGAGCTGGGCCGGGAACAGCCAGCACTTCATGTCAGCAAAACCTCCAAGAGCACGTGAGCGCTCACCGGAATGCTACTGTAACAGCAGTTTGTTTTAACTTCTTTGGGTTTTTGCTGGTTAAATAAGAGCTATAAGCTGAGAGTGTTCGTCTTGTCTCGAATAAAAACAGTAAAAATAACTCAGCAAACATGGGACCGGGAGACGTTTAGGCTGTGGATTTTAGTTTCCTTCCAGGCTCCCTGCAGATGGGCCAACAGGACGGCAAGCACCTGCTCCGACACCTGCTAGAACAGGGGCTACCTGTTCCCCTGTCTCCCAGCGTCACCCCAACTCTGTGAACTACGGTTTTTCCCTCGTAACGGGCGAGCGTGGGGCAGAGCCGGCCGGCCCTCGTACTGTGCGCGTGCACCGGGAGGAGCGCACCTGCCGGGTCTGCAGGGCGGGAGGCGAGGCGGGTGCGCCCATCTCCCCGGCCGACCGCCGGCGCGGGAAGCCGCCTCGCGCCAGGTCTCCGGGCACAAACCCGAGCGCCTGCCCCGCGGCGGCGGCGTCCCCCTGGCTGCACCGCCCGGCCCATCGCACGAGAGCAAGTCCAGGCTCAGAGCCTCTCCCGTTGGGTCTGTGGCCCCGTTGGTAAGCGGGCCGCCCCTCGGGCCTTACCACTTGATGATGTTGTGGACCAAAGGCAGGAACGAGTAGCTGTCCTCCTTCGCGCCCGCCGGGGACGGGGGCCGCGGCGCCGGCTGCTGGGGCGCGGCCACGGGCGGCGGCGGCGGCTTCGGCTCGGCCGGCGGCGGCTCGGCCGGCGGTGGTATCGCTTCTTCGGCGGGTCGCCCGGCCGCCAGCCCGGCAGAGGCCATGGCGCTCGGAACCCGCGAGCGGCCGCCCAGTCAGGAATCGGGACGGCGCGGCCGCCCAGCGCGTCACTTCCGCTCGCCGCCGGGCGGAGGCTGTGCGCGCGCGCACTAGAGCGCGGGGCGGGGCAAAGCCGCGGTCGTTACCTGGCAACGGGCTGTTGGCGGCAGATTGTGAAGACAGCTAAGTTACGGAACCTTCCGAAGTAGGAGGTTTATTTCAGAAAAACGTCTCTTCCTCCTCAGGTGACGGAGAGAGGCAGCGCGGAGGAGGAGCCTGGTGGCGGTCAGCACGGCCCGGCCTCGGGGGCTCCCGCAGGGCCGGCAGCACCGCGAGCGGAGGGGACACGCTCTCCTGGGTTAAGGCGGGCCCTGCAGCCCTGAGGACCCGCATGGACGACCAGCCCGCGCCCGCAGCGGCCCCGCGCCGCCCGCCGAGGGGAGAACACTACGCCTCTCCGGGATGCTGGAGGTGTGGGGGCGCTGGGAAGGCGTCCCACCGGAGGGGCTGGTGCCAGGAACACACATGACATCCTAGAACCAATCCTCCGTCCCCAGCCCCATTTCCGCTCCTCTGAAATCTAGTTCAGGTCAGAGCAGAGCCTACACTACTTTCCGATTCCTGCAGATATAGGGCTAGCCTCCAAAGGTTTGGTTGAAGGACATCATAGGGCCCTAGGCCAAAGTGGAGGACTTCCGGTGGGTGTGGGGTTATGTTCCTCGAAACAAGAATAATTTCTGGGCGATGGGTCAGCCATCCTAAGCCTGGCCCCCGAGGGGAAGGAGAGAGGAGCCAGGCAGCCCGTCCTTCCTCGGGTGGCCATCCTGGGCCCTAACGAGAGGCCAGGGGTCCACCTTCAGGTACCGACACGAGCAGTGACACTGCAGAGCCAGCAGCCCACCGCAAGGCCAGCAGTAGAGCTAACATTTCCGGTGTATCGGGAGCAGTGGATGGAAGGAAGAAGTGATGCTGGAGGGTGTGCTGTAGGCTCTCCAATGGCCCTCAGCTCCGCTCAGCCACCACTGCTCAGGCACCAGCAAGAGCACGAAGGGCGAGGCTGAGGGCTCTCTTCCTGCTAACCAGGCACCTCCCGCTAAGTGGAGAGTTGAGTGCGGTCCAGAATGAAGAAAAAGTGCTGTTGTGGTAGCACCAGGTTGCTTGAAGAGACTATACCCTCTGAATCATCTGGGGAGGCAATGGTAGTACAATAGTAATAATAATAACAGTAATTACCACAACTACCATGGAATAAAAGTAGGTATAAGGAACAGAGTCGCAATCATCACACTTAATCCACAAGAGAGCTCTGGGAGGTAGATACCAGTTCCCCATTTTTAGGTGAGGAAAAGGAGGTTTACAATGGTAGAGATACTGGCCCAGAGTCATTTAGCTTGCCTGGCACAAAGCTTATGGTCTTAACTAATACATAAGAGATCTTAGATCCCCCCCCCAGATCTGTAACTTGATGGTTTGAAATGTTAAAGTGAAAGTTTTATTCAGAGTTCCAAAAGCAATCTAACATCTATACTAATCAAAAGGTAATATGCTAATTAGACTGGGAGACCTTATGGATGTCCTTCTGGACAAAGCCATGGTGGTAGAGGCCGAGGTGGTTAGGGGCAATCAGGCCAGGAGGAGAGGGCGGTTGAGAATGATCAAGCTGTGGAGGGGGGGAGGTTGGGGGTGAGCAGGCTGGCAGGCCAGAGGGGTTAGGGGCAATCAGGCAGGCAGGCAGGTGAGTGGGTAGCAGCCAGCGATCCCGGACTGTGAGAGGGATATCCAACTGCCTCAGGGATTGGGCCTAAACCGGCAGTCAGATAGCCCCTGAGGGGGTCCCAGATTGGAGAGGGTTCAGGCTGGGCTAAGGTACACCCTCCTTTCTTCCTCCCCACCACCCCTTCCCCCCCCCATCCCCCCACACACACAAATTTCAAATTTCATGCACTGGACCACTAGCCTATAATAATAAAAGTGTAATATGCTAATTAGACCAGACTGGATGACCTTCCAGACCACACTATGATACCCACTGACACCAGGCCAGCCAAGGGTGTGATACAGGTTAGGGGCCCAGCCATTTCCCCATGATGCCCCTCAGAGGGAGGCCCAGGCCACCGTCAGGTGGGCTGATCCATCAGTTGGGAGGGGCAGAGGCTGGACGTCGCTAGGGACGCCACCACATTGAGCTATTTGGCCTTCGCTGTCTGAGGCAGGTTCTCAAAGCACCTTTTAGTCCAGCTGGCAGTTCCAAGGTTAGGCTGTGGAGTCAGCCCGCCTGGTCCCAGCTCAGCCTACCAGAAGGAGCATGACCTTGCACAGCCTCACTTTGTGCAGCCCTGCAACCACCTGAGGCTGAACGGGTTGTTCCACCTGAATCCCTCAGGAAGGACCTGTGAGCAGTAAATGTTAGTTCTGGTTTTTCAGATTTAGGGCTTGCTCCTTCATCAGTTAACAAACCTAGCCACCAGCAGGTAAAAGGAAGGGTCTAAATTAGAGCTCTCTGGTGGAAAGATCATGGAAGCCATACATCACCACATATATTGGTCTCCATTTTTCAGTAGCTACATTAAAAACACACACAGGACGGGGGGAAGTGGCGGCAGAATAGACAGACTGTTCTGAGCCTAGTCCCAGAGCAAATAGAAGGAGCGTCTGAGAGTCCCTTGGGGAGTGTTTATTGGTAAGCTAAGGGATAGCAGAACTCCAAGAGAAGGTGGGGGACTGTTGGACGGAGTTCCCTGACCAGACAGCCCGCACTGCAGCGGAGACCTCTCCCAGAGCTACAGGCTCAGAGGGAAAACTACTCCATCTGCAAGGAAAAGTGGATCTTATCTGAGGCCTGAAAAACCCACAATTGTGGAAACCACTGAACAATTGTGAGGCCCCAATCAGTGCAAACACACAGATTCAGGAGAGCTCTTCACCCAACCACGGAAAGGAGAGAGAGAACTATATAGCCAAATATCCTGAAAAGAGAGACCATGGGGAGACAAAGAAATAGCCCACATATGAAAGAAAAGCAGGCATCACCAGAAAAGAAAGTAAACGAATTAGAGGCAAGCAACCTATCAGAGCAAGAATTCAGAGAAATGATCATAAAATAGCTAAAAAGAATGGAAGACAAATTTGACATTATGAGTAAGAACCAAGAGGAAATGAAGAACCAAGAAAAAATGAAAAATGATACTGCTACTGTAAAGAACTCTATAGAAAACATCAAGAGTAGACTAGACATATAAGTACAACCAATGGATACAAAACTCTGGGGAGGGAGGGCAGGTATGGGGGGAGGAGCATGATATATGTACAAAAATAATTTTTTTTAATGTGGTCCCTTTTTTAAATATTTTTTTATTGATTTTACACAGAGAGGAATTGAGAGGGATAGAGAGAAACGTCAATAAGATAGATACATCAACGAGCTGCGTCTTGCACAACCCCCACTGGGGATGTGCCCGCAACCAAGGTACGTGCCCTTGACCAGAATCGAACCTGGGACCTTTCAGTCCCCAGGCCGATGCTCTATCTGCTGAGCCAAACCGGTTTCAGCCAAAAATAATAATTAAAAAAAAAAAAGTAGACTAGAGCCCTAACCAGTTTGGCTCAGTGGATAGAGTGTTGGCCTGCAGACTCAAGGGTCCCAGGTTCGATTCTGGTCAAGGGCATGTACCTTGGTTGTGGGCACATCCCAGGGAGGGGGTGTGCAGGAGGCAGCTGATTGATATTTCATCAATGCTTCTAACTCTTCTTCTCCCTTCCTCTCTGTAAAAAATCAATAAAATATATATTTTTAAAAAGAGTAGACTAGAAGAAGCAGAGGATCTCATCAGTGAGCTAGAAGACAAGATGGAAAAAAATACCCAATTAGAGCAGCTTCTAGAAAAAAAATTAAAAAGCAGGAGGAGAGCCTACGGGAATTTTGGGACAATATAAAACAAAACAATATTCATATAATAGGGGTTCCAGAAGGAAAGGAAACTGAGGAAGGCATAGAAAACTTCCTGAGATAGAGAAGGAAAAAAACAAATCCAAGAAACTCAAAGAGTCCCAAGCAAAATGAATCCCAAAAGACTGACTCCAAAGCACATTATAATTAAACTGGCAAACACCAACAACAAAGTAAGAATTTTAAAAGCAGCCAGAGAGAGACAGAAAGTTATATATAAAGGAACCCCCATCAGACTAGCAACTGATTTCTCAACAGAAACTCATCAGGCCAGAAGGGAATGGAATGAAATATACAAAATCTTTCAAAGGAAAGATCTGAATCCAAGAATATTGTGCCCAGCAAGGCTATCAATTAAAATTGAGGGTGGCCGAAACCGGTTTGGCTCAGTGGTAGAGCGTAGGTTTGCAGACTGAAAGGTCCCAGGTTGGTTTCCGGTCAAGGGCACGTACATTGGTTGCGGGCACATCCCCGGTAGGTGGTGTGCAGGAGGCACCTGGTCGATGTTTCTCTCTCATCAACGTTTCTAGCTCTCTATCCCTCTCCCTTCCTCTCTGTAAAATATCAATAAAATAAAATAAAGATTTAAAATGCCACTTTAAAAAAAAATTGAGGGTGAAATCAGGAGCTTCACAGACAAAAAAAGACTAGGGGAATTTATCACCACCAAACCAGCAATGCAAGAAATGCTAAAGGGTCTACTGTAAAAATAAAAAAGAAATAGAAAGCGAAGAAGGAACACAGGGGTATAGAATAAAAATGGCGACAAATAAGTACCTATCAATAATAACTTTAAATGTAAACGGATTAGATGCCCCAATCAAAAGACATAGGGTAATGGACTGGATAAAAAAAAATAAGACCTATATATCTGCTGTCTACAAGAAACCCATTTCAGAAAAAAGAGGCACACAGATTGAGGGTAAAGGATGGAAAAAGGTTTTCCAGGTGAATGGAAATGGAAAAAAAAACATTCAAGGAAGAACTAAAACCTGTCCTCCTCAGACTATTCCAAAAAATTCAAGAGGAAGGAACACTTCCAAACTCCTTCTATGAAGCCAGCATCACCCTAATACCAAAACCAGACAAAGACAACACAATGAAAGAGAATTACAGGCCAACAT